TAACTATGGACATTTTATAATTATTTGATTTCTAATAAGTCTAGCTGGTTTTTATTCAAAATCAGTTTTTTTTTATTTACATCGGCAGTGCTTCATCTCTCAATTCTAATAATAYTATATTCGTACCTACAATGTATAAATGCCGGCGTTTGGTATGCCACGTAAGTCTATTTATGGAAAATATTAAACCATAACCGATGAAAACTTCGATAAGGTTAGTCGCTGTCTTRCRCAACTACCGAATAAGACACCGTAAGACTATAAATTATTGTAATAATATATTTCCAGACGGTTTGGCAAAATTAAAACCGGCGGCAACGCGGTTGGTGTACCTATTGGCAGTGTTGGCACGCGTCGACGCGAATCGAATAACATAATATGTAATATTATGCTCAGCAGGCTGTGCAAAAAGTTCTGCGCATGGGCCACAAAATGCCTATCCCTTTCGTCTGATACCTAGATATTGTAATTGCTAATTACAGTAACTGAAAAACACTGAAAAATTATAGTCGGCGTGGCACCACTCAAACGTTTCGTCGGAATTTTTMGCGCCGCGTTGCTCGTTGCAGCGTGTTTACGCTGTAAATATAACCAATTCCTACCCGTTCGAAAATCCTTTCTGGTCCTTCGCTGTACGTTCAGAAGTACGGTCTGTCTATTGTCTTCCGAAAATATCGACTTCAAACCAGTGTATTGTTCGGCACAGAAAGCTCATGTTTTTTACAGTTACACTTATATTATGTATAAAGGCGAGGATGAGAGGCGTTTCAGATTTTGTATGGTTAAATTACCCATCACATTATACTGAGTACCCTTATTATAAGRGGGCCGATCAAAAGCTTCCGGGACAGTTTTCTTCGACTGGAAGGCCATTATCAACCTCGAATTATTTCCTAGAGTTGAGACATTTAATCGTTGAAACCTTAAGACATTTGCAACCTGGCAACGTCCCTGCAGTGAATTCTTCGCTCGTGTTTTTGCACAAAAAATGACAGTCATTTTCCAGTCTTCTTATTCGCCAGATTTGGACTCAGCAGACTTACTTTTGTTCTAAAAAATGAAAAGGCCCACGAAAAGACAAAGATTTGACGATATTGAGGTCATAAAAAAAAAAAAATTACTGGAAGAACTGGAAGAGCATTATTCTAAGATGACTTCCATTCGAATACCGGAAAAAAGAACGATTTTTAAATTTTTTTAAATATATTAATCGATTATATAAATTAAAAAATTATTATCACTTACTATACCTACGCACACATCGAAATTGCCTACATTGAACTCCTTAAGAGKACATCAGCGCACTATTCGTTTTCTCTCTGTGTATWAACAATTTAAGTTAGATAGGTTTAAGTAGGTACTTGTAGTATATTTTTATACATTAAATACAATATAGCTTAGTATAATATAGAGTAAGATGCATTTTTATGACTGGAAATTCCCTAAGTAGGAATCATAGTGCCTCTGTAGTTGACTATATAGGCGACCTTTTCATACTTCGTCATAAAATAAAACAAGTGGTAAAATATAAAATAACATTGCATTACTGGAAATTTTCGATGTACACTGTTCATGCTTTAATGCTTTAATTATTCCAGTGAACAAATTTTAGTCTATCGACAGTCATTGAAGTGTTTAAGTGTTTTTGTTTAATTTTTATATTACAATTTATTAAATACATTTGAAATAAAAACTTTTAAATCCAATAAAGAAGACGAAAAAGTAGCTTTTGAAGGATATACATATTATATAAAATATATACATTTTCTGATTTTTTATTTTATTGATATATTKATATATAATATTTGTATACTATTTATTTATTCTAACGCTTGTAAAATTATAATATGATCTTATCATAAATTGATAAATGATATGATTAATAATAATAATTTGATATCTTTTTCGTGTATAAATAATAATCAATTTCAATCTTCATGATCAATTAATATATTTTTTCTTTTTTTCGTTGGTCTCCTTTACCGATTACCGTGCCATTATGCGGTGGAAGAAGGATCCTTTGTAGAGGATATAGAGTTTTGTAATTTTCAACAATTAAAAATAAATGTATACAAAGAAAGTTCCGGAACTTTTTGATCAGCACTCGTTCATTTGTTTTTGAATTTAATTTGAGGGGACATGAACGACGAAACTCAACAATTGGATCATCTATTTCCGGCAGACAGATTTCTAAAGTATGTAATACCACCATATATATAATATATTATTATGGTACTTGCTGAGTAATGTAGGTAACTGATAAACGGATATGCAGCCAATGCGTCCCAAAATAATATAATAAGCACACGTCATTCAATAGTCAAAATATAATTGTGCATAAAAAATTTCCTCRCTGCTATATTATGATATTATTACGATAGTTGAATAATTAGAGGGAGTATGTGAAATATGTTATGTACAAGTGTATTTTTTTTTTTTTACATTAATTTTGCTAGTCCTAAATTAGTGAAAAAAATTGAATATTTTTTTGGGGGGGTTCTCTTCGCCAAATGCTTGTTTCATCGTTAATGGATTTRCGAGAATGTGTCTGGCGTTGTTGAAATTGTTTWGTAGGTATTATGTTTACCACATTGGTATAGACTCGACTGATATTTAAGTTTAAATGAAAATTATGAATTTTAAGCTATGCTATGTACGTATACGATGTAGACGTATTATCTCTTACACACTCTTTTGACAATAGGTCAAACCGACTTTTTATAAATCGCATATTAGAACTGCAGAGCATTCGCTTTCAAGTCTACAGACTCGCCCACAACRAATGACTCACCCCTATAGACGGCACGAGACGTGTGGTATGGCAAAAAAAAAAAACATCTTCCATTACAAGGAAGTGCGGACACGTCGTTTTTTTTCATCACAAGTCGTCGTCGTTCGGCTGTTGCGGTACAASACACACGGTGGATAGTAGTTACACAGCTGTAAAATTGAAACTAATTTTTTTTTTTCAATGGAAACCTTAACATAATAATACAATATAAACAATAATAACAACGGCGCAATGAGATTATGGTCGTATGCATTTATTTATTTATTTTTTTTTTATCGTGTACACAAAAACAAACACAATATAAACATTTCTACGAAAACTATATAATAATGATAATAATACATTACAACCATACGGAATAATAATACTCAATCGATTTTATACATAATATACAAGGGTAACGGCAGTGGCTACTCGATTATTTTTATAAACTATAATTGTTGTATAATAATATTATAACAACAGGTCATCCAAATAAATGGGTGGGCACCGATTTAAAATTTGATAATTTTTGTCGCWGTAATTTATTATAATCAGGTCGAGATTGTAATATTATACGATTAGTTGATACACACGATCGATATAATGTAATGCGGGTAGGTATAATAATGAGTGATAGGTATATGGACAAATTAAAAAACAAAAATCTGAAATAGTATAGCACACACGATTGGAACCACTTGTTGTGTAGGGACACACCACTTAGCCAACGGAAGATTAAAAATATTTAATTTTTGATTTATTTTTACCAAACACAGATCGGAGAGTGGGCATTTAACGACTTTYTGAGGTGGGGTTAAAATCGATAAAAATACGTTAAGCCGTTTGATTTTGCCGAAATTATTGGATTTAGAGTATTTAGACGATGAAAAAAAAACTCAAACACACATACTTACACTGTTTATAAAAGAACATAAAATAAATTAATTAAAAAGTCAGCCTTTCAGTCACGGATCAAAAAAAAAAAAAGATTAAAAATTTAAAAGTTTTCACAGTGAGAAGAACATAATAATAATAATAATAATAATAATAACAAACATGTTAAAGCCTATCCGTTGGGTGGCTATCGGAGTCACGTGGTAGTTAATCACTGCCGTCGTTACAAAAAATAATAATAATAATAATAATAATAATTAGTTGAAACATAACGAAAACAGTAACCACAATACGGTATGGAATATTATCATGAAATATCCGATCTGCAGCTGCAGGTGACGTAGTCACTTTGAAGCGCTACCGGAAGGAGTCGACTTTTTCGATTTCGTTCTCATCACCGATGCGTATTCGTAACGTGTATGATATTATAGGTACGATCAATACTATTATTTACATTTTACACACTTAACATTATACATTTACGTAGTAGGTATAATAGGTAGGTCGAGACAATAATATTGTTACAGTAAGTTGTACACGAGACTTAAGGACTAAAACGATATTATAATATTATATACCTATAGTAAATTATATATACATTATTTACATAATATGCCGACCAAAACACAAAACCTCGACAACCCGTGGCCGTCGGTATTTTGTATTTCTTACACTCGGTTATTGTTATTATAATATCGAAAAAAAAAAACGAGGAATATCGATTTCGCGGGAATACAATATTATTATGATGCTRCGGGGATTCTCAAACTTTTATGAACTTTTTTTGAGGGTACCCCTTCTTAGTTTTATTAAGCTAAAAATATATATAAAACAAATTTAAAGGCTTARGTACACAAATTTTTAACCTTAACCGTACCCCTTAAAAACGTTGAGTACCCCCAAGACGTACGCGTACCACAGTTTGAGAATCCCTTGAATAATTTGTACCTACACAAGACCTACACAATGTTTTCGGGCTCACGCATTCAATCCAATCGATTGCCAAGTAGTT